GACCAAAAATTCTAAATTTTTAAAAAGTTATATTTTATGTTTTGATGTCTTAAATCTATTTTTGGGGTTCATTTCACCAAACTCGAACCCGGTAAGCTATTGTTGACTGATTTATCACCCGATTCGATCTGTTTATCGTAATTAAGCTCCGTTTTTTATATAATTTATGTTGATATGTATCTGAGGAATTATTGGAAGATGATTTCAAGATCGAGGGTGTTCGAATGGAATTTATATGGCGTTAGTATTGTACGAAAATCGAGGTAAATTTTACTACATATCCGATCTGTTTATCGTAATTAAGCTCCTTTTTTTTATATAATTTATGTTGATATGTATCTGAGGAATTATTGGAAGATGATTTCAAGATCGAGGGTGTTCGAATGGAATTTATATGGTCGATTAGTATTGTACGAAAATCGAGGTAATATTTTACTACATCTTTATGCTTTATGGAACATGTTGATATTGGTAAATGCATGAATAAGATAATGTTGGTCACTTTTGTGGAGTTGATTAATTTATACACTTGATATGAATGTGGTAGAAATTTGATAACTGAATACGGATCGAATGACTAATATAAGAGATTGAGGGATTGTTAGAATTAAATTACAAGTTTGTTATAAGTGATAAAGAAATCAACCATGGATTTGTAACTTGTATTTTATATCATTAAAGGTTAAATGTTAAAGGTACTTGGATGGAAATTATGAGAATACTCCGGTAGGGTAAAATTATGAAAATACCCTTATGTTGTATGATGATAAGAATTGTCCCTGAAAGTTGGTTAATAACTCTGAAAAGACATATTGATCTGATATAATTACAGATGTGCATAAGAAATGATAGTTTTGTTTAGAAAATTTGGATAACTGATTTTTAATGCCAACAAGGGTTTGCGCAAGATGCTAGAAGTTTGTTAAGGAATAATTTCAAGATCAGAGAATGTTCGGGAAAGCAATTGACCATAGGATCTTTAAATTATAATTATTTTCATTAAGAGCTAATATCAAAATTATCTGGTTAAAAAATTACGAAAATACCCTTGAGAGGTAAAATAGTCCGAGTTGACCCTGAATGAGAAAGTACTTTGATGATTTGTACTTAACTCGATTAAGTACAAATTTGATTGTTAAGATCCTGACTTAGTACATAAAACTCTTGATATTCCGTTGGTAAAAATCAGAGAAGGCACTTAACCCGAAAATATCCGAGTTACGAGTAAATACCTGAAGAACAATTTATCGGGGTGTTCTTTTATCAGAATTGTTCGAAGAGACTGAAATAGATAATAAATTGGAATTAAATAATAAGACAGGATGGAAGGAAATGATTGAAATACATCGGATCTGTAGAATAACCAGAATACCCCTGTAATGAAAATGACCCAAGAATATCACCAAGCTCAGGAATGATTAGATATCCTCGAGCTCTGAAATGAATAGAATAAAACTGAACACCAAAATTATCAAAATAACCTTATGGCCTAAACTAAGTAAATGTATTGGATTAATTAAGGAATCCAAATAAGTATAGGTGTTGTACTACCTTTAAAAGTAATAGAACACAATTTAAGTGAGTAGATCAACCCTAAAGTTATGTCAATACCTGAATAACATAGATATTACTTGAATGCATGTTCGTCTTCTCAAGTTTGGCTCGATGATAAAATTTGGAATTATTCAGCTCAACTCTAGATCGCATTCATTACTAAGAATTGGACGTTTGTTCGACAAATCAACCACGAAGACCAAATTGAATGGAACGGAAGTACAATATGTATATGAAATTCAGTAACATTTGAATTACTCTGGAAAATCCTGAAGTAACTCGAATGAACATGATTGCTAAATGAACTAGGTAACCTCAATGACTGAGGATTTAATAAGTGATTTGGATAAGTCTGGAAACTCTGATGAGTTTACATAGTCTACAATTACAATGGGTTATGAACAAAATAATCAAATACGTTAGCATTACATGATATTGTGGAAGCGTGGAAATGAAATAAATACATTGGAAGATATATTCATCGATGATTCCGAAAATAATCAATGGACAAGAATTTGTAGTATTAAAGACTAAATGCCCTGGAAGAACAATGAATTGACCAATCGACAAGTATTAGTTCTAGGAACTATTCATCTAAGAGTTGTCCGATAATCCGATTAATCGATATAGAATGTAAATGTCCTGAACCTTCATTTCTTCCTTATCAGCTCAAATCACATTCTGAATAATTGATGATTATGTCAGTTATTGAAATCTCCCAATAGTGATTTTAAATTCTGATATTCTATCGGTATACTGAAGATCTGTGTTCCTCTACCTGTTAAGATTATCCAATATCTTTGAATAATATCTGTAAATTCTGGTGTGTTCCCTACTCACATGAATATTTTATCTGATTTTCGATTTGAATTCTGATCTAAACTTGACATGGATTCTGATCTGATATATGACATGGATTATGATCTGATACTTGACTTGGATTCTGATTTGATACTTGACCTGGATTTTGATATGATACTTGACATGAATTATGTTTTGATTTTTCATATATATCCCTTTACGGACGGAACATGTTTTATTTGGGGGGTAATGTTAGAAGAAGTATACATGGAGGCTCCTCAGCTGTGTGCTCAGGGCCTTACTTATCGGCTCCTCGGCTGTGTGCTCAGGGCCTTACTGGACTTGACGATGGGTGTATGTTTCTGGGAAACCTACACATTTTGGACTTGACAGATGGGGGTAGTGTTCATGTTTTTAAAACATGTTACATAAACCGATTTTACTAAAATATTTTATCTGTATATTTTCACTGGTTTTACGGGAACACACTAGATAACCTATTCTGATCTCCTGAACCTAGATATCTGAAATATTTTCATCCGAGCTGAATACTATCTATTACTACCTGAAATATTAATGGGACCTCAGCTCAGCCAAAGAAATTTGTAAATATCTAAACCAATAAGGAAAAATACGTTTATCTGTATCTGCACGTTCTTCAGCATCATCTGGTAGTTATGTATTACTAAGCTTTTCGAAGCTCACTCTGTTACTCACCTTTTCAGGTTAAAAGAATCGTACCAGTGCGGTTATCGACTTCAGTAAAGGAATCCCTCCAGCGTTGGTTGCAGAGTATGTACTTGTGATTAGGGGGCATGTAATTGTATTTTGTTTTAATAATTGATTCTGAAAATCTGTTTTACTTTTGTATACTGATAAATCATTTTATAAGTTACATGTTTTAATAAAAGTTTTAAATTTTCCACTATTTTTACAGTGAGTCGCTCCGGTTGCCCTAATGTGACACTCCAGATCGGATCGGGTTACCCGAATCGGTCTGAGGGGATTACAATAATAGTATAAATAATATGTACATATGGATAAGTAAGAAAATAATACATATATATGCATATTTACAAAATAATGATATAAAAGAAATATATATAACTATAATTGGATAAAGTACTAAAAAACTAATTATTATAGTAAATATATATATATATATATATAAAGAAAGAGGGAAAATAATAATAATAAAGAAATAATTAAATATATATATATATAAACTAATGAAGAAATAAAATAAAATAAAAAATATTTAAATAGGCCAAAATCAGAAATTAAAAAAAGAAACTCAACTGTGAAGGGATTAGATTGTAAGAAAAATAAATTGGGTGTCCAAATTAAAGTAAAATCAAGACTTGAGGCCGAATTATATCAAATTTTGGGTTAAAATAGAACCTTTTAAAACAAAAGGGGGCCAAAACGTGGTTTACCCTAATTGCTTCAGAAACACGCGGGTCCAGGGTGAGAAACAGGTCAACACGTGGGCCAAATTGGGTCCATGGGTCTCATATAAATGTCATTTTTTTAAATCTTCATTTCTCTCTTCTTCACACGAGAGAGCCCCCTCAACATTCTCTCATTTGTTCATCCAAGAGATGAACGTCGCTGCGGGTTTCCAGATTCCGGCGATTCCTCCGCCTCGTCGTTCATCGGCGGCCAAACACAAAAATGTAGGTTTTTTCAAAAGCTTTCGGCCCCATGGTTTCAAAAATCCAACTGGTTTTTCCAAAAAACGAGCCTCGGAGCTAGATCTAACGCTAAAGCTCTCGACTAGCTCCCCATATTCATTGATAAAAATATTTTTTGGGGTTTCTTTTCAAACCAAAACACAACAAAGGAACAAAACCAAAAAAAAACAACATACAAAGGTATGAATTTTTTACCTTTAATTTCGAAATATTGCAAGAAACCTTCGAAATGCCTTGAATATGTGATTTGCTAGTAAATTTGCTTGTATTCAGTATGAAATATCCTCCGTACAATGAGTTTGATTACAAGCCTATTTATAGGGTACGAAAAAACCCTATTTTTAGACTATAATTTTGAGTCCTAATCGCACTAAACTACTGCTTTATTTGTTGTTGATGATCCTTGCAGCGAACGGTTCGGCGTGGGTGGCGTGCTACCGTGAAACTCGGGCATGGGTGAGGGCTGTTGACTGAGGGACTCGGTCGTGGGACTCTTGGATGCGACGCTGACTGGGAACAGAGGGCATGATAGGGTTTTTGCGAACCCTAATCTTATTAGACCACTGATTTCTGCTGGGCTTTGGGGCTGTCTTATTTGCAAACATGCTATATGTTTGGGCCTGTCATAAATATAACACATGTTAGTTTAATAATAATATTTCTACAATATATATATATAATATATGATATATAAATACATGTTTATTTTGGACATAAAAAGTGTGTCTACACCCTATAAATATTTATAATTAAAATTAAACATAAACTCTATTAACTCAACTTAACTCGAAATTTTTTGAAATAAAATTTTAATTATAAAATAAGATTCATTAACTCGAATAACTCAAAATATTTTAATTCAGATCAATTGAATATTCACCCTAATATATATATGGTAATAGGTAGCGGCTAGGCCGGAGCAGCCAATTATTCAAGTCCAACCCAATCTGCCCAAAATGAACAGCCTCAAAAGACTCCACGAGCGGCTAAACGATGGCGCATAGGCGTAGCTGAGTTGAACTGTGAAAATGGAGGGCGAACCGAAACCAAGCGACGAGCTATCTAGATTCCTTGATTCCGGCATTTACGAATTACACAATTCAAATGCCGTCTTCATCGACCCAGTTCGCGTGCTTAATCGATCCTACACTCGTTTTAGGGTATCTCCTTCCACCTATTACTCCCGTTTCTTTGAATACGAACACCCAGCTCAAGAATCCAATCCCTCATCCAATCCTAAGAAACGAAAACGAAAATCAAAGAAAAAAGATCGCTCCCTCAATGAAAAAGAACAAGCAGCGGAAAAGCGTCATCAGGTAAATTAATCAAAATCATTGAAACTGTCTTATTTTTATAAAAAAAATGTTTTTAATTCCCATTTCTTTTCTGTTTGGTTAAGGAGGCGGTGCCTTTATTACTGAAGGCGCATGAATCTTTACTTGGAGCAGCTGATTTTCCAGCCATTATGAGCAAAATAAGGAGTGTTTTTTGTTCTTCAGCGGAGCTAAGCGGTGGTGAAGAACATTCATTCATTGAGCTTGGGAAAGTTTGGCAAGCTCCTTTGTATGATATAACTCTTGATTTTAAGTCCAGCCTACTGGAAAACGAGACTGATAATGGAGGTTTGGTTAAGGTTGCTTTTCTTTTGTTTAATGAATAACATTTTGTGTTTTTATTAGTTATTCGTTATTGTTTCTCATATCTGCTTCAGAAAATCGAATAAATGAGCGGAGAGTGCTTCCGATTTTTCATAACTTAGTGGTCAACGACAAGCCTGAAGATGTGGAGGCTGAATTTCTTAAAAGGCATTATATTTTACCTAGACTGAGTTGCTTCTACATGGTGTGTTGATTTTCCATTTTAAAATGTCTAAGAATAAGGAAAATATTCAAAAATAGAATTCATGGAAATTCTTAAGTATTATTATGTTATGATTTGGTGGAAATTAAATTTCACATTTGAAATGTTTCAGATTATTTTTATAATGTCTTACATGTATTTTCCTTGACCATGTTGAAGTCGGATTTGGGGCAGATTCGCAATATCGTTCCTGGTAATTATTGCACCTTAAGTTCCATTCAGTTTAGGCTGCATTTTATGTTTCATATTGCAAAAAAAAATTGTTAAGAGGTGACCCTCAACCTTTTAGTCAGGCGTGGAAATCATGCCACCTGAGATTCCAATATGTTATCTGGTTCTGCATTTTCTTATTTGTTGACACGCATCATTATTGGGTTATGTTTGCTAAATTCTTCATCAGCTGTTTTAAAACCACTGTGAAAATAGAATTATGATGAACATTTTGTTCCTTTTTTTTTGCTGATACAGCTGCATCTGAGAGTGGTTTCAACCTTATAGTTATTGATCCTCCATGGGAAAATGGAAGTGCCCGTCAGAAATCAGTGTATGCAATCACATATTTCAGTGTATCAAAGACACTATAACTTTTGATACTTGGGAGCTTCATTATCATAATCTTGTGGGGGGGGTTTTTCCCCCAATTTATTTTCATATGTTTTTATTTCCTAATTACTTCAGGTACCCAACTTTACCAAACCGGTATTTCTTGTCTCTCCCTATAAAGCAACTTACACACACAGGTGGTGCACTTGTGGCCTTGTGGGTGACAAATAGAGAGAAATTGCGTAACTTTGTCGAGAAAGAGCTATTCCCTGCATGGGGAGTTAGATATATTTCCACACTTTACTGGTTGAAGGTGACACTCTCACTTTTTTTAAAAAAAAATCTTTCTGTATGTATTTGGATTAAGTTAAAACAGTGCTTATTGCTAGTTATCATTTCATTTGGCTTTTGCTTGACGTTTTCAGGTGAAAGGAGATGGTTCATTGATCAGTGATCTTGGCCTCTTTCATCATCGACCATATGAATGCCTTCTCCTGGGATACTGTAATGGAAATGTAATGAGCATATGCTATCCATTGTGCCTATTTTTAATTGTGTTTTTTTGTTGCTTGTGGATCCTGACTGGATTCCTTTTGTTCCTTACCCTGAGGAACTTTTACAGGAAATGGATTCAGGTTGCCTTTCAGAATTTATGCCCATAAAAGATAAACGTATTATCATAAGTATTCCTGGTGGTTACTCCAGGAAGCCCCCGATTGGAGGTATTATTTTATTGATAGAGTACTTAAATAGTTTTTATTGTATATGGCTTCAAGCATTTATTACTTCTTCACCATGCCATGGAAGATCGCTTTGACCAAAACATGAACTATTTTTTTAATATTTTTCCTTCTTTTGTATAAATCATTTGAAAAAGACATTACTTCTGTAATTCATCTTTTTATGGTTATGCAATAGGTACCCCTGTTATATGATAACCAACTCTTGCATGGCTAATCAGTGCCTGATTGTTGCTCATTTAAAATTCTTTTCTTCTGTTCTTTTATGCTTGTAGAATTACTGTTGGAGCATGTTCCAGGAGTTAAATCTGCTAGATGTATTGAACTCTTTGCCAGAGAAATGTTAGGTGGGTGGGTTTCTTGGGGAAACGAACCACTTCACTTTCAGGACTTGAGATATTTTGAAACAGTGAATATGTAAATTATCCTCGGACTGCTGTCTCGTGGGAATCCTGCATTCAAAGTTTACCTGGCATAGATTGGTTTGGTTCCAGTTTCATATCCCCAAGCACATTATCCTAGCTCGGATGGTTATTGTTAGCAATCTGTGCCAACCAAAGATAAAATGAGCAAATGGAGCCTTTCAGTAGTTGAAGATGAAAGCTGTATATTGTGTAACCAAGAAGCAGAAATTGGACATCAGTTATCTTTTACTTGTACAAAACAGTATGGCAAAGAACTTCTGTCCAGATTGCCGAGGCATATTGGAGACTGGCACAATGAATTTAATTGGACCACTATAAAAATGCAGAGGGCCGAAGCACTGATCACTTTCCTCGGTCCACACTAGGCTTGCATCGAGTGGCAAAGAACCTATCCTAAAGCATCAACAACAGGCGCTGAACTTTCCTCATGAACCAGTTGTTCAACTTCAACCGGCATCCGAGGATGAAACGGAAGACACCAAGCTAATTTTGCCATCCCATCTGCCACCTTGTTACCATCTCGAAGAGTATGCTGAAACTGCAACCTCCAATCTCGTTGGAGAAGTTCAACGATGTGTGAAACAAGTGGGGAGACTACCTCCATATCCATGCCTTGTTCGAGCAATGTTCGAGCAAGGTCCAAGCTATCCATTTCAAGTTAAATTCAGTCCTTCGAGAACTCTCTAAAGCTCCGCATCAAGCACGAACACCTCCCGATAGCTTTCGGAAACCCCCCAATCCATCCACCACAACTATCCCATATAACTCTACCACAAGCTATTAAGTTCGAGGTCAATTTTTCACGTACCATCTGTATTCATTTTACACAACATCAATCAAGTTTTCTATTAATTTAACTATTAATTTGGGTATTAAATACCAGTTTAAATTTGAAAAATATAATTTGAAGTATATTATGCTCATACGTGAGTTGATATTTAATAGTTAAATTAATAAAAAGAACTGATTTCTATATTGTTAATATTTTTAAGAAAATTAAAATAATTAAAACTTAATGTTTTAAAGTTTTTGTTAGTATTTAAATCATATAATTGTTATTATGTGTCAAGGTAAAGCAAATAAATCCAACTGAATCTTAATAAATCATCAATTAAAATAAGAGCATAAGTATGACCAAGACAAGATAAAATAAGTGGTGGTCCTCAAGCAAACAAAAAAGTTGGATACCTTAAACAAAAGAGCAGTATAATTTAAAAAAATATTTTTTTTAAAAAAAACATCTAAATTCGCCTTGGTTTGCTATCCAAGTAGGATTGTAAATGAGACGAATTAGATCACGAGTTATTGGAGATTGATTCAATCAAATTTTAATAAATATTCAATTCGAATGGACTTGAGCTCGACTAGAGTTCTTAATGAGTTACTTGATACTCAGCTCAAAAATCTCTCGACCAGTTCTAACAAAATAATATATTAAAATTTTATATTTTAAAAATTAAATTATTAATAATATTAACATTTATGTGTTTATATTTTTTAATAAAAAATATAGTATAATGTTTTTATGTACTTAATATCCAGGTTCGAGTTTCAATTTGAACTTTAACCGGTTAAGTTTAAATTTTTTTTATTTCGAGCTTCAATTTATAGTTTCGAGTTCGGATCGAGTTTGAAAATTTTAAGCTCGTGAGTTTTCGAATTGAGCCGAGCTCTGCATTACTCAAACTCGACTCGGCTAGTTTACAATCTTACCTCCGAGAGCAAATACACTGTACACAACCCCTTTGACTTCATAGCTGACATCTTTCCCAACTAAACAGAAATGGTTTAGTCTATTATCGTTAGTTGTGGATTAGATTTTGTATTTAGGGGCGAAATCTTAATAAATCTTAAAGAGGTTGAATATAAATGATAATGAAGTGTAGAGTTAGATATAATTGTTAAGACATCAATTCAAAATTTAAAAATTAATAGTTGGATCTACATGGTATAATCTCGAAATCTATGGAGAACTAAGAAGCATTTAAATTTCAAGTCACTAATTGAAAATTTAAGGATCTAATTGAATAATTTAAAAAAAATTCAGAGCTAAAATCACAATTTATTTACGAATTAAGGGATTGAATTGAATAAAATTTAAAGAAGGGATGACATGAGAGTAATTACCCCTATATTTTCCAAAACACACTAATTCTCTTTCGAGTCGGGTCGTAATTGCGGTTCACCCATGCCAAAAAAATTGATTGTACTAGTTAATCTAGTTATATAGTATAGTAGATTTATTAGTTATAAATTCTCGTAATTAAAAATAGTCGACTTTTAATATATTTTTTTCTCTGTTATATACAAAATTTTAATTACAACTCAAATTGACTTGTATATTTCGTTTACTTTCCATACTTGAAATTAAAAAATGATTTAATCAACTAAAGGAATTGATTTAACGTTTACTATTTATAAATTAATTTAAAATGCGAGAGATAATGGAATTTATTTATTTAAAAAATGATAAATTATGTATTTGATCACACTAATATTCACGTAATTTCGTCGTAATCTTTTAAAATTATATATAAATTTATATTTTTTGTTTCATTTCAATCCTTTATTATTAAAATATTAATATTAATGTATTACATCATAAGATAATATTAAATTATCATGTTTTTTTTATAAATGATACGTTAATAATATTATTTAATTTTTATAAGTGAAGAGTAAAAGTTTATAATAGTCCCGCAAAAAATAAAAAGAACCAAATTGGTAAATTACAGTCCCGTAAAGTCTCAGACACCTGAAGCTTCTTGAACTCCAAGTCTCTCGATATTTTATATTTTTAAAAAGGCACAATGCAAATAAATACCCTTAACATTTGATATTATATGTATTTGTGTCTAAATTATTTTTTTTAGAGTAGTTCTATCTACAACGTTTGATTATGAGGCATAAATTTTCCGTTGAATGGAATCCGTCAGTCAACTGACGGTCAATGGGTCCATCTGACGTGGCATGCACATGTGATCATCGATGATGACGTGATATTTCCATGTCATTATTTTTGCTGACGTGGCATGTTCATATCATAGATGATGATGATGACATGGCATGTTCATATCATATATGATGATGATGCGGTAGATCCACGTAGACTAAATGCTAATGTGGCATGTACACGTGTGATGCCACATCATCAATTTTTTTTAAAATTAATTAATAATTAATAATTATTTTTTATTAAATTAATATCAACCAATCAAATGTTGCCACGTGACACATGAATTTTTTATTAAATTAAGAAAAAATAGATTAAACCTCCACAAATTTTACGATCTATGAGATTTGAACTTGGGATATCTAACCATCCAGCCAAGTCATTTAATTGTTATTGAATGACTAATAACAAAATTTAAAGTATATTGTTGCCATCAAAACCACCATTAACACAAACACTTTCTTTTTAAAAAATATAGTTAGATTTAAATTGTTCTAATTATTTAAATAAATTTAAATTATTCATAGGTCCTTTAAAATTTAAATTTATAAATCGATCTGGATCTTAATTAATTTTAAATTTATAAACTTAAAAAAATCATAGGTAAATCGATCTGGGGATAAACCATATGTGTTTTTTAAAGTTTATAAATTTAAAATTAATTAAAATTTTATCTTCAATGGTGTATTTCATGTGGCAGCTTCAATGGAATTCGACGCCAATTCGAAGGAGAATATTGCTAAATTCTACATTTTTTTATCTTCAAAGCATTTTCATTCACGTTTCGACAGTTCATTAATATAACAGAGCATTTTATTTTTCCAAGAATCCTATGTTAGATCAAATATCATTTACCTTGCAATCAAAGGCACTGAAAACCTCCTCAAATTTTGCTTGAAATCAACATTGTGAAAAGGGTTATTTTCACATCTTCCATAAGCACTATCACTGCTAAAGACAGAAATGGAGATTGGAGATCTGTTGTTGATGAATCAAAGTAAAATTAAAAAATTGAAATTTAAAATTATAATTAATTTTAAATTTATAAACTTTAAAAAAGACCTATGGTTTATTCCCAGATCGATTTACCTATGATTTTTTTAAGTTTATAAATTTAAAATTAATTAAGACCCCAGATCGATTTATAAATTTAAGTTTAAAAATACCTATGGATAATTTAAATTTACTCAAATAATTATAACAATTTAAATCTAACTATAATTTTTTTAAAAAAAAGGTGATTGTGTTAATGGTGGTTTTGATGACAATAATATACTTTAAATGTTGTTATTAGCCATTCAATAACAACTAAATGACTTAGTCTGATGGTTAAGTATTAAGATTTTCATCCTTTATACCCATGTTCAAATCTCTTAGATTGCAAAATTTATGGAGATTTAATAACTTTTATCTTAATTTAATAAAAAATTCATGTGTTATGTGACAACATCTAATGATATTAATTCAATAATAACTAAGTGATTTGGTTTGATGGTTAAGTATCAAGACTTTCATCCTTTAGACCTAAGTTTAAATTCTATGGATTATAAAATTTGTGGAGGTTTAATTCATTTTTTCTTAATTTAATAAAAAATTCACATGTCACGTGATAACATCTAATTGGTTGATATTAATTTAATAAAAAATAATTATTTATTATTAATTAATTTTTTAAAAATTGATGATGTGGCATCACACGTATACATACAATGTCAATATTTAATCTACGTGGATATGCCACATCATGATCATCTATAATATGAACATGACACGTTAGTAAAAATAATGATATGAAAATGTTACGTCATTCTCGATGATCACATGTGTATGTCACGTCAGATAAACCCGTTGACCGTAAATTGACTGACGTATTCCATACAACGAAGTAACTTATATCTCATAATCAAACATTATAGATAAAACTGCTAAAAAATAATTTAAATATAAATGCATATAGTGTCAAACGTTTAGAGGTATTTATTTGCGTAAAGCGTTTTAAAAAAATAAGCCATTTATCGCAGTCATAGGGCAGGGCTGGGAAGTAGTAGAAATTGAGTATACAAAACCATGACGCTTCTAAAGCTTCGCTCTTCATTCATCTACTTGACCTCCCTAATCAAATCCAAATTCTGTATCCAACCCTTTGATTCTCTCTTCAAATAATCACTTCCCAGATTTCCTTATTCAAAGATTTCTCCAAGTTTTGTACTTCTCTTAAAGCGGCATGGAATCCGAACTTAAGGATCTCAATTCGAAGTCCAACATGATCCAACCACCCGGTTCCACCCACGACGATGCCTCCGTCAAAGACGACAGTCCCCTCCTCAAACCCGACTCCTCATCCGCCGCCGACTACAACATCCAGGAGCTCGAGAAGAAATTCGCTGCTTATGTTCGTAACGACGTCTACGGTACCATGGGATGTGGGGAGCTACCGTTGAAGGAGAAATTTTTTCTTGGGATCGCCCTCGTCACGCTGCTTCCTCTTCGCATCATTGTTGGGATGACTATTTTGGTTGTATATTATTTGATTTGTAGAGTCTGTACGCTATTCTCTGCTCCGAATCGGGAGGAGAAGAAGGAGGATTACGCTCACTTGGGCGGGTGGAGGCGGGCCGTGATTGTCCGGTCGGGTCGCTTCCTCTCTAGGTTCTTGCTCTTTGTGGTGGGGTTCTATTGGATTAATGAAACTCGTAAAGATTCAGCAAGTTCCCAGGAGAACTCAAAAAATGAGGTATGCCAACTTTTTCTTTCTCAAGTTTAGCTTTGACTTTAATTACCTGAACTCCCAGACTTGAATAACGAAATTTTCATCAAAAGCAATTGCTTGATCAACTCCTTTTTTTCCCTCT